GTTCTCAAAATCCCAGATGTGGTTACTAGCCCCAAAAGCTGCCGTCTCTGGTTTAGCATGTTCTGCAAGTACAATCAACAAAATATCTTTAAAAATGTGATGACCATTAAATCACTCAGAAAGCTTATTTTAATGAAGAGAATACCTGAACAACTTTGCTTGTAAACAATCATTATACATTTAATTTTTTGCATACAGAGGGGAGTTTGTCCTTTCCCTTGTTGAATTGTACTTGATATACTTGTTTCCAGTTTTGAGTCATTATGGAAGAGAAACAAGAGGAACTGCATGAGACTTGAGATCTCAAGATCTGAAAGTGAAACAAAACATGGCAGGCTACAAGAATGTTATGGCAAACAATATGCAAACAATAATTAAAAGAGGTAAACAAGCAGCAGACTGAAACAGTGACCTGCATAACATTCCTATATTGGATTTACAAAAGAGACCTCTTAGAGCTTTTTTTGAGAAGGGGCAAAAAAGTAAAAGACAGACAGAACTTTTGGATGGATGGATGGATGGATAGATAGATAGACAGACAGATAGAATGTGACAGCGGCGGCACTTTGGGAAAATAGAGCAAAGCCAGATTAGGAATTGAAGTCCACACAAGTTGCCAAGGTTGAGAAACATGGGCTGAATATATCAACCCAGCCATTCTGGTTAGAATTTAGCATGCTGTTTGATTCCAGCTTAGTCAATAAACCATGGCTAAGATCTTCCTGCTCCTTAATGCAGCTGCCCCTCTGCCCCTTCTCCAGCCCCCTGCCCCAGTTCTTTCTTTGGCATCAAATTTTGCAATGCTAACCTCCCCGGGGCAGCGATGCGGCCGACTTGACCCTCTTTGCTTCGACCCAAGGTCCACTTCCATCAGGCCAAGCAAGGGGAGGCACTCTGCACACACTCAGAGACTCCAAACTTCAGGGAAGTGCTCCGCCTATCTTTACGCTCCACCCGGGAGGAGGAAGGCGTGCGGAAGAAGCCCAGACTGGCAGAGGCAGAGGGAACGATCACTTGGAAAATAAGCAATCAAGCAAGCACAGGGCTCAGTCAGAAGAACTGGGCTGCAGAGGGAGGCTAGGTTCTAGGTCCGGGCCGGCCATGTAGAGCTGAACCGAACTGAGCCACATGCCTTGGAGAGCTGCAGCTGCACCCACCCGCATCCTGCACGCAAGTCCGGCTGGCTGGAGAGGCGGAGGCCAGGTAGGCACTGCACGCTCCCTTGTTCTCCTCCAGGGAAGGGGGCCCTAACGCCAGGCCACCCACCCCTTCCACTGTGCACCTTGGGGGTTTTTTGCTTTCGGGCCTTGTGGTGCGCCTCCACCGCTTCCACTGGAGAAGGCAGCCTGCAAGCTAAGGAGCCCCCTTTCCACCACCTCCCACCTCCCCCCCCCAGGCTTGGCAAGGCTCGCTGCGTGCGGGTTCCGCATTTGAGGCACCAGCTATGGAGCGGTGAAACAGTCAGTGGGGTGAGCCTATGGGGCTGGTGCCTCGAACGCCCCCTGCCGCCTCTTAGCACCCCCAGCCACCTCTTAGCACCCCCCTGCCGGCCTCCTTGCTTCTTAGTGTTCCCCTAAGGCATCCCACTTCCCTCCCCAGGGGGCAGTACTGCCCACTTTGGGAACCACTGTTCTATGGCATTATTTGAAGGGATTAAAGATCAAAATTCTTAAAAGTAAAAGAAAGGAATCCAAAGTTGGTATATTTATTCAAGGCCAGAGTAGAAGTGTTGTTATACCAGATAACTCTTAATAACTTTTGCTGATCAGGAATGAATGACAAGGTTTTAAGGATTTGTTTCTAGATAAATAAATGGGACATGGGAAGAAGAAAACACTTGTATTTTAGGTAAATATGGCAAAAGTTACTAAAATTAGTTATATTTTTGATGAACAGGAAGTCATTTCTGTATATTACTTTTCTTTTTCTTGACTATAATCTTAATTGTTCTCTTTTTTCTATCCTGCTTTCCATTTTGTTACTTTTCTGCATTTTATTTTTATTCTTTTTTTTTGCTTATATTGTTCTTTTTAATCTTTTTAATTGTAACGTTTAATAAAATTGATGTTAAAGAAATAAGAATCGGTTTTTGAGGAAGCCTCTGGAGCCCGGGGAGGGCAAAAACACCTCCCCCTCTGTGGCGCAGGAGGCCTATATGCCCACCATGGCCACACCCACCCAGCAATCAGGCAGAGGACCCTTTGCTAACATTTTTGGAGCCCACCCCGTGGCATGGGTGTAATTGGCAAACAAGAGGAACTTCGGACCTTTCACTTAACGATAGTTCAAGCTAACATCTGTCTCACAAAAAAAGTCAGTTATGACCTAAATTCAAGCTTATGTCCATTGCCCTCCCTCATGCTAATGTAATTGCAATTTGGGCACGTGGCAACCAGCTCACATTTACATCTGATTGCAGCATTTTGCAGTCACATGATTGGAATTCGCAATGGGAAAAACTGTCATTTGTTAATTCGGATTCACACAACCATGTGAGACAATTTATGACTGTGATCTTTCAACTTATAACCAGAGTAAAAATGGTTATAAAATTAGATCCAATCACATTATGACTCAACTTATGCCATCTATAATATTTTTTTAAAAAAGTAAATCTGAATTTAATTCAAAATTGAAATCATTCTTGTATTGCAATCTCATGCATGCAATTGTGCCACACTCAACATTTTATTTTTAGAGGTCATATTTTCCACTCATGGTATAATTTGTACTATTAGTAGAATGCACTATTTATGACATTAGTTAGATAATGTCATATGTTTCTGAATTGTTTAGATTTAATGATAAATTAAGGACTCAGTTAATCCTGTGTTGATATAGACTATATGGATCCTGTGTTGATATAAATACATATTATATGGATTTCTTTTTTATTTAGGTCTTTTCCTTTTTTTAATCATCACAATCATGTGTGTTATTTTTTCACTACATAACCAATACAGTATTTTTTTTTCCAAATGGCTTTGTAGTTGTTTGTATTCCATCATTAAAAATAATTTCGAAGATTAAATATCAGTAAAACAACAGGCCTTAGAAGTCAAGTTCATTTAAAAAAAAAAGGTAAGAGACAAGTGTGAGTCTCATTGTGGAACTTATGTTATTCTTTAAATACTTAGAAGGGATATACATTTAGCTGCTGTATAAGGAATATAGCATCTACCCAACCATACTTCAGTTAGGAGAAATAAATTACTTTGAATGCTGACAACTTAAAAAAAAGATTAAAGGCTGGCACAAGACTGCTCAGAAGTGCTCTGGATTGCATTTCCTCAAAATAGAAATTGTTGTTTCAATAAATTTGCATAAAGGTCTACTCCCTTTTAAACAATGTATAATTTCCCAATACTAGCAGCAAATTACTGAGAGCATTGCAAGAGATTGCACACCAACTTTTTAAAAAAGGTAAAATCTCATTTAAATTGAGCTCAACATCTAGTCGTTTTAGAAGCCTCCTGCTATTGTCTTCTTGGTTCTAACTAATGAAAACAGAAGTATCTTGACTAAATGGTAAGTTTATTGAAGATGTAAGCATATCATTGCTATTTTTGCACAATTCCTGGAATGTTTTGTAATGCATTTGAATTTACACTTTTGAAGCTTACATGCTCAACAATTCTTTTTAATATGTGTATCCAGGTCTAAAAACATATTATTTAGGATTTAACAGACTCTTTTTCTATGTTTCTGTCTGTAGGTTTGGGAAAATGAATTGGAAAGTGATTTCTTCTATCATAGCAATATGCATCACCATCATTGTCATCTTAGTTTTGGTTTTCCGAAATAGAGAAGAGAAATCTATGGGTTGTCAGAGCTCTTCCCATGGGCAAGGGGAAGGTCAGGATACTGCTAGCCAGGTATTTCGAGATTTAACTCCAGAAGAGATGATGCAAGTAAAAAACTATTTACATTCCAACCTGGGAGTGCGAATGGTAGGTGCATCAAAAGCCAAGCCATCAGACAACTGCATCTATTCCATCACCTTGCAGCTCCCTCCCAAATCAGCAGTGCTACAATTTCTAGACTATCAAGGAGTCAAGCCTGCGCGGGAAGCTCTGGCTGTGGTTCATTTTGGAAATCAGCCAGTCCCAAATGTCACTGAATTTGTAGTAGGTCCTCTTCCAAAGCCAAAGTATCATCAAGATGTTACTTTGCAGAAGTATGGAAAGATGTTGCCTTATTACCAAAGGGTTCCTATGATGACTGATGTGGTTGAACTATATAAAATATTGCTTCTGAAGGAATTTCTCAAGGCTCCAAATTTCATGAGAAAAGTCCTTGATTATCCACCAAAAATTTTCATGATGACTTTTGGAATGCCACCAGGGCTAAAATCAGGAGATCGCAAAATCTGGATAAATCTCTTACAGTATACTCCTGGCAGCTATTTGCATCCAGTTGGATTTGAGATCCAAGTGAATTTTAGCAGCCTGGATTATTCTCAGTGGAAGGTGATAAAAGCTTTTTATAATGGACAATATTTTGAGGGCATGAAAGATATTGAAAAGCAATTCAATATGGGAAAGTTTAAAGTAAACAAGGTTAAACTACCCCCTCGTGATGGGGGATACTCATCACTGAAGCGGAGGGTGCCACCACAAGGACCAAGTCCTTTGCATTATGAACCTCGTGGACCACGGTATAGAATTCAGGATAACCATGTAACTTTCATGTCTTGGAGTTTAGCTTTTGGAATTGATAACCATAGAGGACCACGTATCTTTGACGTCAGATTTAGAGGAGAGAGAATAGTCTATGAGTTAAGTTTACAAGATGCAAGTATTATCTATGGATCCAATGGTCCTACAATGATGTCTGTCAGATCCATGGACATGGTCTATGGATTTGGGTCTAGAATGTTCACACTCACACAGGGGGTGGATTGCCCCTACCTAGCTACTTACCTGGATGTGCATAGTTTTCTTGATACTTCATCCCCTAAGACCCATAAAAAGGCCATGTGCATCTATGAACAGAATTCTGAGTTGCCTCTGAGACGTCATTTTGAAAGCGTCCAGTCTCCATTTTATGGAGGATTGTCTGACTCGTGTCTGGTTATCAGATTCATATCAGCACTTGGTAACTATAACTATATCTGGAACTTTGCTTTTCATCAAAATGGAGCTGTTGGTGTCCATCTTCTTGCCACCGGATACATTCAAACTGCTTTTTTCTTTGAGGATGCCACAGACTTTGGCAACAGAGTTCAAGAGTGGGTATCGGGATCAATTCACACCCACAATATCAATTTCAAAGTAGATATGGACATTGGTGGTGAGTGGCAGCCTCATTTGTGATATTTTTAAAACTCCAGTGATTTCTAAGCCTGACATGATTTATTGTAGAGTGGTTCTTTGGAAATGTTTGCATCCCTTCTTTGAGATGGATGTAGTTTTGATTATGTGACAAAAGTCTAATGCTTCAGTTTGAATTGACAACTTTATCTGTATCTAACCATTTTTTAAAAAGATGGAGCGTTAGTGAGACAGAGTGTTCCACATGTTTTTCTGTCTCTCTAGGGATTAATTTTAAATTTTTTAAACTTTATTTCCTTCTATGAAAAGTGTCTGTCTGGATGACAATTTAACATTGTGTAGAATCCAGAGCAGTCGCTTCCGCTGTCCCTAAGAGGTGAAAGAAGAATGTATGATCTGACTAACATTTATTAGAAACTGAGCCTGTTTTAGATCCTTTACTCCAAAGAGATATTATCCTCTCACTTCTTGGATGGTTTACTTGAAGAACTACCTGGGAACAACATTTGTATTTCTTTTCATATGCAGCTGTACCCCTAAAGCTGTTTCTTTACTGTGGTTGGCAATATACCTGAAAAAACCAGCCAGTGTTTCCTCTGCGTTTATCTTTCAAGAAAACTAATAAAAGTTTTCTTCTATAGCCAGCATTTTTTTCTGTTAGCCCAAACCTCCTTTCTTGTAGTGTTAACACACTAATTCTGATTCTAACCTCTGGTACAATAGATATGAGGTCTGCTGCCTCTTTCATGTGGCAACTTTTTAATTATTTGAAGGCTGATAAGTATCTTTCATTAGTTGTCTTTTCTGTAGACTAAATAAACCCAGATATTTTAATCATTCCTCATAGGGTTTAGTTTCCAGATCTTTCAGTACCTTAGTACCACCTTCTGAATGTATTCCAGATTATTACTCTATTTTCTTTGTATCATACAATTGTCCTATCTAGCAGAACTTTACATTTCTCTAAATTCTCCCTACTGCTTGAAACAGTCTAGAAATGTTTGAATTTTCTTTCATCTAACATGTTAGCTACATTTGTGGAGTAATAAAAACAGGACTAGTATTATTTCTTGAAGAAAAAGTGAAGTGAAAATGTATTATTGTCTTCTGAATTATCTTAATTTTCCTTTCTTAATATTCTTTAATTTGGATTCTCCTCTAGAACCCCATACACTTTGAGGCCAAAGTAACTCTACTCAGTCAATTCCCTCTTTTATTAGTTCATTTTCTTTGAGGAATAACATTTAAAGAAACTCAACAGAAATCATCTCCTTAAAATATCTTATTTCTGTCTCTAAAGTAACTTTTTTTCACTGAAAATGCCAGATTGTGAGAGGTAGAGTAGTATGTGAAATAGTTTAGAATGAATGAGGGTGGATGAAGGATGCTAATCCCATTGTGCCATTGTACATGTTAAACATTTCCCCCTGTAATACTGTCAAAACTGGAGAAGACAAACGTGGCTCTCCTTCCTACAATGTCTGAAATACAATGGTAATTAAATAAGGCCAAACCATTATCTTCAACTTTGTTAAATGTTTTGTCTTTATGTTATTTTGACATAACATGCCATTTAATGTCTGTTCTGGTTTTAATTCGCATTTAATGTTGCTATTTAATGCCTGTTCTGGTTTTAATTAGCATCTTCGATTTCCCACAATGACTTTAAATAAATTTCTTCATATTCATGCTGAAAATCAAACTGATTTGATTATATATATATATATATATATATATATATATATATATATATATATAT